CATTCTCCTCTTGGGATCTTGGGCATGCACGCATACGCGCCTGGCATGAATTTTAAGCCACTGGGTCTGGGATGTGAACTGCAGTCGACTACATAGGAGTCCAGCGACATAGCCATTACGCTAACTGCTGGTCCCATAGGCTCAGTTTTGTCTCCCTTTTCTCAAGTTCACACATTGAAGAACTCGCCCCCAACACGACTGAATTTGGAGGTGGGTCCTTTAAGGAGGTAATTAACATTAGGTTGGAGCATAAGAGGGAAACTCTGGGAGACATAGGAGGAGGCAAAGACTTCTTAAGCAAGACCCCCCCAAAGCACAGGCAATAATCCCCAAAATACACAAATGGGATTACATCAGATTAAAAAATTTCTGTATAGTAATTAGTGTGAATGGACAACCCTCAAATGGAAAATTTTTGTAAACTGTGCCTCAGATAAGGGACTGATAACCAGAATACACAGGGAACTCAAGTGCCTTCCTTACCTGGAAGACAGTGATTAGCCCAATTAAAAGATTGGAAAATGAGCTGAATGAACTAAGGAAGACACATGAAAGCCAAAAAGCATATGAAAAAAATCCTCAATATCTCTCATCATGAGGGAGATGAAGCTCAAAACTACAATAAGATACCACCTAATCCCAGTCAGAATGGTGAAGATTAAACACAACAAAAAATGATAAGTGCTTGCGGAGCTGTGGTGAAAGGGGAACTCTCCTACCCCATTGGTGGGAAGGTAAATTAGTCCAACCACTGTGGAGAACAATATGGAGGCTCCTCAAAGACCTTTAAATAGAACTACCATGTGATCCAGCAATTCCACTACTCCTGGGTATCTACCCAAAGAACAAGAGAATGCTCAGTCAAAAAAAAAAAATACTTGCACAGCTATAGTAATTGCAGCATTATTCACGATTGCTGAGACGTGGAACCAACCCAAATGTCCACAAACAGATGAATGGATTGGAAAAATGTGGACATATACTCCATGGAATACTATTCAGCCATAAAAAAACAAGAATACCCTGGCATTTGATAGAAAGTGGAAAAATATGGAAGATTTATTGCTGAGTGAAGCATATCAGGCTCTGAAACAGAGACATTGTATGTCTCCACTTAACATATACTGATTATCTGCACTCTACAGTAGAGACTGAAAGACTGGAGGACATAAAAGCGTTTAAAATTGTTACAGAAATAGGGACAAAGTGGAAGGAGGATGGGAGAGGGGAAGAGTGTAGGAAAGGAAATTTGGGGGAAAAATAGAGATGTACAACATTTGTGGGACACAGATGTAGTTTATTGCCTGTTGATAATGATGTGTACAGTATTCTCAACTGGGCTGGTCTGAAGTATATATCATGCTGGGTAAAGTCTCTTTACAATATAAATGACATACACTGGTTGAATGTATAAATAATAATAAAAAGTAAAAAAGTTGGATGATGTTTTACTGTTTTGTTAAACTTTATGTTAATTATTTTTTGGAGGGTGCTTTTGTTCACCAGAAAATTTAGGAGGTCTTATCAGCTATAAATTTTGAACATTTTTAAAATTTTATGGATTAGTTTTAAATATAACTGGAATCTATTTATTATCAAAAGTAAATTTTTAGGAACTTTACTGAAATTTTTTTGCATTAGAATATAAATTTAATAATTGTTTTGGCTTTGTGTTAGGACATAAATTTAAATTAAAGTTAACTATTGAAAAAAAAATTCTTAATCCAGTAGGATTGGTGTTCTTATAAGAAGAGGAAGAGACACCAGACATCTTTTATATATTATATATATATCTGATCTTATTTACTTGTTTCTCTTATAAAAATCTTATTTTTTGACTGGATTCAGACTTACAAGTAGAAGCTCTCAGAGAGGACAGCCTGCGTCTCTTCACAATCTGTTCTTGGTGTTTTTCTTTGGCCTCCTTCATTCTCTTGGCCAAAAGTTTAGTATATTCTGCTGCCTCTTCCTTATTTTTCTTAGTACATTGCTTCTTGAGAGCAATACACCAGTGTTTGTGTTGCAGGACAGTGGACTCACAAGACGCTGAATCTTAGGTGCTTTGGTCCTAGGTTTCTTACCTTCTTTATTTAAGGGCTTTCGTACAACATATTGGTGGACATTGTCTTCTTTAGAGAGATTGACCAGTCATCTTAATCTTTTTATAAATATACATGTGTGAGGGAAAACCATATGCTGGTATCATTTTTATTGATTGAATTTTCTATTTTACATTTATTTACAGTACACCTTTATAGGATACAACATGAATTTTCCCAGCATGGAATACATTGTATATTAGTCCACAGATACTACCATACACATTATAATCAATAGGTAATTTTCCACTTTAGTACCACTTAAATATTTTCCTTTTTACTCCAAGTCCCTCCCTCCTGTCACCTGTTGCCGATTCCACATTGTCTCTAGTGTCCACAGTTGCTCTCCATGCTCTTATATCTTCCAATCTTTCAATTTCTGCCTAGAAGTACTATTTATATATGTAATATTGCCATGGACTTGGAGATGCAGAAAGGTATGTGTGTTGAAAGAATTGTAGTCTAGATAAATTTAGCAAAGGGACATTTGGTATATACTGTGTGGGGACATCTAATGCCTCTGTTTCAAAGTCTGTCTTGCTTTGCTTAGCATTAAATCTCCCATATTTGTACACTTTTTGTCAAATGCCAGGGTCTCTTTTTTTTTTTTTTTTTGAAGAGGTTTTTGCTATAGGGTACGTGTGCTTGCTAGACAGACAGAGACAGAGAGACAGAAAGCGAGAAATCACCCCCCAGGGGGAGATGGCCATGCCGCAATCCCTTCTCCTCCATTCTCCTCTTGGGATCTTGGGCACGCATGCACATGTGCCCGGCGTGAGTTTTAAGCCACTGGGTCCGGGACGCAAACCACAGTTGACTACATGGGAGTCTAGCGACATAGCCATTATGCTAACTGCTGGTCCCATTTATTTATTTATTTATTTCAAGCTGAGTAGTAGTCCATGGTGTATGTGTGCCATGTTTTGTTTTGTTTTTTTTTTTTCAATCCATTCATCTGTTCTTGGACATTTGGGTTGATTATATTTCTTAAAGATTGTGAATAATACTGCAAAAAACAGGAATGTGCAAGTGCTTTTCTGACAGAATGTATTACTATCCTTTGTGTAGATACCCAGAAGTGAAATTGTTGGATCATGTGGTAGGTCTTTGAGGAACCTCTATATTGTTCTCCACAGTGACTGGCTTGGAGTAAAGGGAAGGTTGCAGTTTTGTTTTGAAGTTTCTGCCATAGGGCATGTGTCCTTGCTAGAGAGGGGAAAGAGAAATCTCCTTGTCCTCTAATCTTCTCTTGGAATTTGGGGCACATACACACATGCACCTGGTGTGAGTTTCAACTTGCCAGGCCTGGGACTCAAATCATGGTCAGCCTTGTGGGAATCCAGCACCTTAACCACCACACCACTTATTGGCCCCAGATTGCAATATTTACAAGATTATCAAGTGAGAATATGTTGAAGGAGAAAGGAGACGGCAATATTTGTCTGACTGAAGAGCATTCCAAGCAGAGGAACCAGGGACTGTAAGGCTTAAGGCACAGATGTGCTCAAGGACCATCAAATAGGCCTATGTGGTTGGAGCAGCGATGGTGCGAGGAGTTCTGGATTATGTGAGAGAAGATGAGGTGTGTTACATGTTACATTGAATGCCCTGTATAGGCTGAGGACATTGACTTGGACTCTAAGTCAAATGTGATGTTATTTTACATTTTAAGTACAGAGTGATGGTAGGCTCTGCCTTACTGTTTTTATTATCATCATCATTATTATTAGGCTCTTGGGAAAGCTCTGAAGTATTTTTTTCTATGTTTTTCTAAGCATACATGCATCATGACTTTCCTGAAAACCCAATAATTACCAGAGAATGTGAGTTCTTGCCAGAGAGAGATGGAGAAAGAGAGAACATGAGAATTCACCTCCTGAAACAAGACATGGCCACTTCACAATCCCTTCTCTCCCATTTACCATCCTGTTAAGATTTAGGTATATGTACACATACACCTGGCATGTTTTTCAAGCTGCTAGAGCCAGAGTTTGAACACCTGTCAGCCAGGAGGGATCCCGCTCTGTTTAACCACTAGATAGTGGTTACATTTTTTTTCAGAGAAGTTTTTGCTATAGGGCACATTCACTAGCCAGAAAGGCAGAGAGAGACACAAACAGAAAGCGAGAAATCACCCCCTGGGGGAGATGGCCATGTCACAAACCCTTCTCCTCCATTCTCCTCTAGGGAGCCTGGGCATGCACGCCCATGGGCCTGGCGTGAGTTTCAGCCACAGGGTCCGGGACTTGAACCATGGTCGACTACTTGGGAGTCCAGCGACATAGCCATTATGCTAACTGCTGGTCCCAATAGTGCTTAAGTTTTAGAATTACTTTGTTTTTAAAACTTGGCTTATGTTTTAAAAGGTTCACTCTATCTGCCTTGTTGAGGGGATAAACTCTAAGGGGACAGGTGTTGAAGCAGCTAGCTGGCAAGTAGGGGATTTCAGAATTCCAGAAGGAAGGTTCTGGTAGCCTGGACCCACCTGCTAGCAGTAGGGGTGGACAGACGAGACTGGGTTCGGTGTATATTTTGAAGGTAGAGTCAGTAGGATTTGTTCCTGGCTTGGTAGAGTTTAAGAAAAAAGGAGGAGTCAAAGATGACAGCAAGCTCTTTAGCCTTAGCATCGAGAAGGAAAGGGTTACCTTGTAATGAAATGGAGCAGGTTTTTGTTTTGTGTTGGTTGTTTTTGAGGGATGGTGTGCAGAGCGGGAAGGAAGAGGAGCTTATCATCTTGGACATGTTAAATTCGAAGTATCCATTAAACATCCAAGTGCAAATGTGGTGAAGGTAGTTGGGTTATTTGAGTTTGAATCCAGAGAAGTCTGTTTTGGAGTTACAAATTTAGAAATTGTCAGTTGTGGATGGTGTTTAAAGCTGTGAGATGAGATGAGACTAACAAGGAAAGATATGAATTGAAAAAAGGAGAGAGACAAGGTATGACTCCTGGGACATACCAATAGCAAGAGTGTGAGGAGAAAGTTGAAAACAGAATAAGAGGTTGAGAAGATACGGCCAGAGGCAGAAGGAAAACCAAGAAACTGAGGGTCGTGGAAGCTGAGTGAAGGAAGCATAAAACAGGAGGGGTTGATTAAATGTGTTAAACCCTGCTGTTAGGGCAGCTACAATAAGAACTGAAAGAGAGCTTCCCAGCCTCTCTTGGTTTATGTTATAATATCTCAGTTTTGTTTTTGTTTTGTTTTGTTTTTAGAGATTTTTTTTCTAGAGGGAACATGAGCTTGCCAGGGATAGAAAGTGAGAAATCACCTCCCAAGGAGCATGACCATGCTACAGTCCTTCTCTTCCATTCTCCTTTCAGGATTTTGAGTACACACGCACAAGTGCCTGGCATGAATTTCAAGCCACCAGGTCCAGGACTCGAACCATGGTCAGTGACGTGGGAGTCCAGCGTCTTAACTCTGACTGCTGGCCCTCTCAGTAGACTTGTTTTTCTAGGTGTTCTCAGCCAAAAGAAATATCTAATAATCTTGTCTATTAAGTGGCCTTGCCACTTAGTATTTTTGTCTTATGGATCTCATAGCCATTTGAAAACCTAAAACACACAAATTGAGTAAAAAAACCCTAATGTATTTAATTGGACATGTTTTAATGCCAGAGGGCATGCGTACACACGTAAGAATTCATGCATGAGAGAGAGAGAGAGGCAGAGAGACAGAGAAAGCAACCCCCAATGGAGCCTGGTCATGTGGCGATCCTTTCCTTCTTTTTCTCCACCCTGGCCTAATTGGAGGCATGTACATGCATGCTCCCAGTGTGCTTTCAAGATGTCAGGATCAGTATTTAAGCCACAGTTGGCCACAGGGGACCTGGCTGCCTCTCCACATGTTTAACTGCTATGCTGCAGGGCCGCCCTTACTTCATTCTTGTGTAACTGTCGTTATTTCTGGGATGTGTCCACTTCCTGGATACTAAGCAAATTCTAAACTTGGAAATCTCTTCAGACACTACCATGCTTACTTCCTGCTCCATACTTACTTTTGCACATTCCTTACTTTTTTTTTTCAATAAACACAGAAACCTAGCTTTCCAAAGGTGTGGCATCGTTGAAGGAAGGCAGTGTAATCTAATGTTGAACTGTGAACTCATCCGAGCTGACAGTTTGTGCAAACTCGACAGATGTCTTTTCCTTGAAATTTTAAAATATTTCAAGTAGTCCAGGGAATTTGCTGTGGTGCTTTAGGAGCCTTCGAATCTAGTATGAGAACTGAGGTCCTGAGAATTGACCTCTAGATTTTGCAATGGAAGCTGTAGATGGGGAGACCATACACTTTATTTTCCAGAGAGGGACAATACATACGAAAATGAGAGAAAGGCTCTATTGTTATTAAGTTGTGACAACTAGACTGACCCAGATTGTTGGGGAAAACTGGGAACTATTGGTTATGTATTAACTTTGGTGGAATAGTGGGATATGAACCTGATTGTATTGGCCTTGAAAAAGAATGAGAAAAGAGATACTGGAGACTGTATTGAAGAAAACAAAGAGCTGAGAACACAGGCTCACATTCACAGAGCTGAAGGAGGAAGAGAGACTACAACAGTAGGAGTTGAGAAGCAAGAGACAAACCAGAGGAGCAGAAAATTGCAAGATGGCTACATTTAATAAAGCGAATGAAAGAGTGCATGAAGATAAAATCACTGAAATGCATACATAGGATTTGCAAGCAAGGCAAGAACAGTTTGTGGGAATTAAGTGCACGTTCAATGGATTCAAGAAGCAATGAGGAAAGGAAAGGAGGAGTAAAGTGGATTTCTCTTTTAAAAGAAATGATGCTCTATTAAAAAGTATCTTTTTGGGACAAGCAGATAGCTTAGTGGTTACATCAGTGGGCTCCCATATGGTTGACCATAGTTCAAGTCCTGGACCTGGTGGCTTGAAAAACACTGGGCATGTGTGTGTGTGTGTGTGTGTGTGTGTGTGTCCAAGATCCAGGGAGGAGAATGGAGAAGGGATTGCAGTGTGGCCATTCCCTCT